CATTTTGGTTGAACAAATTTGGTTGAATAATTGTTTTTGTATTGTTGAATCAAATCGAAATAATTGCCTACTGGCTAAAGGTTTTAATAAAAATGTAATAATTATGATGGTTTTATTTTGTGAAAGATGACAACATGTCAACATCTTTAAATCTTCAGATGTTAAGTTTGCAGTATACTTCCAAACTATCATTTTGAAAATCAGACATTACAGAGGTCCTATTAATAACAAATATACTAGTACCTGATTGTCCACTGGGCATCCACTCTGAAATTATGATTGTTCGCATGAAGATATACATTTTGTCATGTAGTTGTGCAAAAAGCTTTTGTGTTTAATTCTTTGAATGTGAAAGTCATTGTTTCGCACCTTTCACAAAATCAATAGTGTCAATGTCATAAACATATTAGATTGTGGCTTTTCAAACGATGTTACTTCTCAAAAACATGTTAAAAACCTTTTTTAGCAAAAAAAAATAGTTATCAAATAATGGTTTTGACTAAAGCTTAGAAGTCATTGTTTCGCACCTTTCACAAAATCAATAGTGTCAATGTCATAAACATATTAGATTGTGGCTTTTCAAACGATGTTACTTCTCAAAAACATGTTAAAAACCTTTTTTAGCAAAAAAAAATAGTTATCAAATAATGGTTTTGACTAAAGCTTAGAATGCCAAAGCCAACTTTTGTCACAGTTCAGAATAGAAAAACCCAAACAATTTAAAAGTAACAAAGTAACTTCAGGATGTGTATTTTCAAACAACAAGAAAAACTAAAGTCTTCAGCAAATATGTACAGGAATTACATTTAAAAAGTAAACAAATAATGAAATCTCCTTTTTATCTTGCTGTTTGCAGGTTATCAATGAATTCTGGTCACAGAATAATGGTGGAAAAATCAAGACTCGTGAAGAAGTGTTAGCAGTATTCAATCACAAAATACATCATAGTAACAAATTTAAAGTTTTTAAAGACAGAGTTAAACTTGCAAAAAAATTGTAAAGATAATGAATGATGTGGACAGGGAGTTCATTATTGTACTGTAGCATTATCAATAACAGTGCAACACGAACTGGAAAGTTTTGCAGCTACTGGCCCTGAAATCTGTATAATTATATAACATTCTCAAAATACATTTGACTATAGTTTTTCTAAGACTGTGATTTTACTGACAGATTGACAGATACAGATGAAGAAGGCACAAGGTTTGATACATCATAATGATACATTGTATCAATTTTAATTTTACTTATTAAGTATGCATTCAAAAATTCAAAACACATGTATTAAATGCTTTATGAATAAACAAGAACACTGGCAAAAACAGTAATATTAACATGACATCTTTCCTTGCATGCTCATTTCATAAATCCTTTTCCTCATTTAAGTCATCGGCAATGCAAAGTTTGGTGTGAGATTAGGTAATCCTTTTCGCCGTCGGACAATCAAATCTTGAAACTGGTTGCCGATTGGGACAATCAATTTTTGAAATCACAATTTGCGTATACAATATATACGTAATCCAGTGTCGTATTATCATTTTGCAATTTCAGTTTTAAACATTGCTACTTACTTCCAGATACATGTAGATCTACTAGTAGACTAGTTATTTGTAATATGTTTTTAGATTAAAGGTCAATAAGTTATGAGGCATTTACAGTTTCATGTGGACAGTTTTTCAGAATGGTTGTCCAACTGGACAACAATGTATTTTTTTATTTCAACCCCTGTAATGTACAATGGGGTACATACTAGCGTTTATATGCTTTAAGATTTTTTAGTAATAATGCTCTTTTGGCACAGTCATATCTTTGTGTTATTCTTCTTTAAGTACGTCATGACACTTGAGTGGATACTTGGAATTCATTGTGTGGTATAATTATTTGTATCAAATTTTTGGGGCAGAGGTACATCACAGAACATAGTACGTAATACAATGTATTTCTATGGGGGTCTGTGCGAGCTGCCATGGAACGCCGGTCACAGAGCCGATGAATACGGCTAAACTTAAGAAAACAGCATAAACTCAACTTTGAAGTAATCCTAAGCAACAAAGTTATATATGTTGCACTTGTAGGGGTAATCTTTGTTCGGACAAGCACAGGCCAGCTGCCTCTTAACAATATGCAGTTAAGGACGTAGCTTGTGAACCCGGCAGTGATTGGCACAAGACTTTTGTTTTGTACTGGCCTATGGTGATCCCACCTCCCCTGATTGGGGAACAGCCTTTTAATCCCTTCTCATTGGCGCTCTCCTTTCCCTACTACTGACGTGGAGACAATGATTTCTGTGGAGAGGGCTCAAAGTGCGATGCAGGGTGGTGATTGGTATCCTTCAGGAGACAAGGAAAAGAAGACTGGTTTTGGGTTGGTCCTGTCCCATGTCTTCTGTTGGGGGAGCCGATACCCCATTGGGGCTACACAAACCATCATTGGGTCCCTGGTTTGGGATATTTGTTCAGTGCCACAGCCTCCTTTGACCAGAATCAGAACCTGCAGGTGCAGGCGCTGCAGGCAGAACTTAGGCCCATCAACTTTATCGAATGGGTTTCCTTGGCTTTGGAGCTTGAGCTCGCCTTCTTAAGTTCAGGCTGTTTGAGAGCTAAGCAACGGACCACGATACTTGGGCAGTTGGACTTTGGCTGGCAGCACTATGTGCGACATCCTTCAAGTCCATACTGCTTTTTAGCAGAAGTGGTTTCGGTCGAGCGGGAGGCAGTACTGAGTCAGTGCGCCTATCCTATTTCAGCGGGGGAACCTCAAAATTCTCTTTGAAGGCTTCATCGGCTCCCCGGGCATGGATGGTAGTTCAACTCGTGGGGTTTATGAAGCTTTAGCTCCAAACCCCCACCTGCTCCTTCCCGTTAGATAACCCCTCAAGCACCATACAGCAGCTTGGCGCAGGAGAGTTTCCAACCCCTGGACGCTTGCAGTAGTGACTCGGGGGTATTGGACTCCCCTTAGAGTGCAAACTCTACGAGTTTAACGCCCTCCCTTTTGGTTTGTGCACAGCACCATACGTCTTCACCAGGGTGTTAAGACAGGTGACCCAGCTGCTTCATCGGCCATCGGTTTATCTGAACCCATACATCAACGACTGGTTATTGCACAATCAATAGAGAGAGGTGTCAGTGGAGCATGTTGATTAACGCAAACGCTCCTCCACAAGTCCAACCCTATACCGTCCCGAACCTATTTTTTCTGGCTATGTAGTTCAACACTGAGCAAGAGCTTGTCCACCTTTCTCTCAGTTGACGGAATCGACTTCTATGCACAAACTAATGCGCCTCATTGGCAAAATGACTTCAGTTTGTCTAGTTCCGCCAGCAGTTCTTCGACCTAATCAGATTCAGAGGTGCTTACAGGCCCACATGTGGAACCTGATGTTCAGGGTTCAGTTGTTGGTCTAAGCTCTGGCTGCCCTCCCTTGATGGAAGGACGTCCGGGACTTAGAAAGGGGAGTGTCCTAAATCAGACAACTCCCTCGCTGACTCTCATTATGGATGTGTTGCTCCAAGGGAGGGGCGGCCATCTGATGGGCCGTCCTACTGTCTCTGAAACATTTTCAGGAGGTCGCACACAGTGTCCTGCTTCGGTCAGGCAACAACTCAGTAGTGTTGTACATCAATAAGGAGAGGGGACACGTTTTCATTATAACCAAGTGGAGCTAAAGGCTTACCACCTTCCAGGGATACGCAATAGCGCCGTGGACGTCCTCTCGAGATGAATTTGCTTTCAGAACACAGAGTGGCAGATACCCTAATGGGTGGCGGATCGTCTTTTTCGTCTCTGGGATGGCCCCCCGATCAGTTTGCCAATTACCAGAATGCCAAGCTCTTGAAGTATGTGTCGCTTCTCCTGGAGACGAGTGACTTTGCTAAGATGCTCTATCGATCTTTCACATGGACGCTTGCGCCTTTCCACCCTTCCAACTTGCACCATGTGTCAGAAAAACTGCACTCAAGCCCACCTGCCTTCTGATACTGGTGGCGCCTAATTGGCCAGGAAGGTCTGGTCTATCAGTCCCCAATGAGTTGCCAGATCTTCCAGACCTGTTGTATCAACCTGATGGCATTGTCCGCGATGAGCCCACATTTTTTCATTTTCACGCATTGAGCTGTTGATAAATTGTGCAAGCGCAAGGCTTTTCTGCAGAGTTGTCC